TATTCTAAATATGAGCCAGCTCGGCGAGAAAATGCAGTTTTTAGGAATATCCCAACCCTAGCGCCACCTAACGAGTGTATTTTTGATCAGAATATTTCTTTTCTAGGTGCTGACAGATGTTCCGAATATCAACCAAATCGGGCTAGCCATGTAGTAGTTTAGTGACATTTAATGTACAGAAAACTCTATGAAATTGTGAAATCGTGACGTCTCAGCATTCTTCAACAAAACAACAACACACAAAAATTACAAATTTTTTTTAAATCGAAAAACCTTCCACGCAGAAGGTCCAAAAAAGTTTTTTTTTTAAGGAATTGAAATCGGTTCAGCGGTTTGGTCAGGCATCGCCGTCATACGGAAAACATTTCAACTTTCGACTTCCAAAAAAGGAGGTTATCAGTTCGTCGGAATATTTTTTTTTTATGTATTTTACCGCATAACTTTAGACCACGGCAACCGATTTCGATTTTTGCAACAGAAGGGTAGTGTGTCAGAGGTGGTCCCATACTAATTTGGTTGAGATCCGATCATTGGGTCATGAAATATATACATATATAAATATTTTTTAAGGCGGTTTTTTTGCTAAAAATTATTGTATATATATAGATTAGAGGTGCCACGCCCCTTTTTCCGACTTCATGAAAACTTCACCTAAACTATCTGTATGATAGCTCAAATATTCCGTATACTTAGGAAGAAAAAAGGAAACTTGTTTTTGTCGATGTTATTGTGGCTTATTAACATTTTATTTTTAATATTTTTATTGAGCGATTGTTTATTAGGAAAAATTGAAAAAGCAACAAAGTCTAAGAGGTAGAAGTTATAGCAGCTATTTCGGAGATCACCACATCTCCTCATCAGACTTCTTTTTTTCTAGACTTCAGCAGGGATCGAACCTGCGTAATCGACGTTCAAAGTCAGAAGCATGAACCACTGAGCTATGTACATCCCGTAAACTCTTGTTGCTAATTCATTTTCCTTATTCAACCAACTACTATCAAGTGCAGCTAATTTTCCGCTATTTAAACTCGACAGCGTGGTTGTTGTCAATTCTATACATCTATCTGCATTTACGGGATGTACATAGCTCAGTGGTTAACGCTTCTGATTTTGAAAATCGATTACGCAGGTTCGATCCCTGCTGAGGTCTAGAAAAACAGAAGTCTGGACATGAATCACGTATGACGACAATCGTCTGAACGATATCGTGTCAAGACTGTGTTGCTTCATGAAAACCCAAAATTGTTTGATCGTTTGTGCGATATCGTCAAGTTGATTCCAGTTTTGATTCTCTTAACAGTAATAGTAACACGTAACAGCAACACAAATGCATAAATCAGTGTTTTTACGAGGTCGTTTTGTCAGTATCGTTTGAAGGACTATCGTTTCAAAGTTACGTGCTTCATGCCCTGATGAGGAGATGTGGTGATCTCCGAAATAGCTGCTATAGCTTCTACCGCTGAGACTTTGTTGCTTTTTTAATTTTTCCTAATAAAAAATCGTGGTACAAATCTCAATAGAAACTTGTGTTTTCTTTTTTTAACTACCGTTTGGAAGAGCTCCTAAAATAACCATAAATGTTTATTATACCTTTCATGAGCATGAAATGGTATTATAACTTTGGTCCGATGTTTGTAAGTACCAGAACAAAAAGAGATAGACCCATGAAAATGTATACTTATATGATCAGAACGTCGAGCTGAGTTGATTTAGCCATGTCCGTCTGTCCGTCTGTCCGTCTGTCTGTCTGTTTGTATGCAATCTAGTCTCTCAGTTTTCGAGATATCCGGATCAAATTTGGTAGGTGGGTGTATTTTTATAATGTATTAATCATTTGTCGGAACCGGAAGAATCGGACTACTATAACATATAGCTCCCATACAACTGATTATTCAGATATGAGATTTTTCATTATAACTTCTCCATTTATATAGCTAGGAACATGAAATTCCGCACTGTTTTCAATAATTATCAACAGAAAACTTACAGTGAAAATTAAAAAGATCGGGTAACTATAACCTATAGCTCCCATACAACTGATTGTTCAGATATGAGATTTATCGTTATAATTCATCCATTTATGTAGCTAGGACCATGAAATTTCGCGCTGTTTTCACTCATTATCAACAGAAGACTTACAGCGAAAATAACAAAGATCGGGTCACTATAACCTGCAGCCCCCATACAACTGATTGTTCAGATATGAGGTCTTTTATCATAACTCCTCCATTTATGCAGCTAGGAACATGAAATTTCGCACCATTTTCACTCATTATTAACAGAATACTTACAGTGAAAATAACAAGGATCGGATGACTACAACATATATCTTCCATACATCTGATTGTTCAGATATGGGATTTTACTGTAAAACTCCTTTATTTGAACAGCTAAAACCGATAAATTTCGTAAGATATTTTATAAATAATAATACAAAGTCTACTGAGAAAATCATCAAAATCTATGCTGTATAAGCTTTATCTCCTATACCACTGATTGTTCAGATACCAGTTTTTGCCATATATCCCCTTTATGTAGGAAACTAAACCCAATAAATTGTGTTACCGGTATACATACTGATCACATAGCAGTGAAAATCACTTAGATTGGTGCTATATAAAGTATTTCTTCCATACCTCTGATTGTTTAGATGCGATTTTTTATATAAGTATGTAACTCCTCTATCGATGTATGCAGATGTATTCAAAAGCAGTAATCTGTCAAAGTAAAATTTGCAGATGTTCATGAAAGGTATGAAGCCTTCGGCATAGCCGAAGACAGCGCTGCTCTTACTTGTTTTTTTGTATGTTTCGATATCATTTGGCTAGGTATATTATCTTTGTTTTTCAATATGTTAGCAATAAACAATCGATCACGAACGTACGAATAATGGACGTCCTTTTTGGCTGCAACTAGAAGAACGCAAAAACTGCGAAATGGAACAGAATATTCTAAAGCGATTAATTTTATATTAAAGTGGAATAAAGGAACTTCCTCCAAACTAACTGCACGTTAAAACATCTCCTTTAGTTTTTTACTTAAAAGCTTCAGTACCGGTCGCGAACATACGAGTCGCGAAAGTACGATTTTCCGTAATTTTCTTTACTATTATTAGGACTTAAGTAGACAAATGTATTTGGGACACCTATTTCGCAAATTTTGGGAACCGACTAAACTTTCCTTAAATAAAGCAAACTTAATATTCCAGTACCAGGTTGACCGAGCTTTGCCCGGAGTGCATATACATTTTAAAGTTTTCTAGATTTGGATAGCTTGAAAAAAATATTTTGGAAAAAAAAAATCGATATCTATTAAGTAAATTTCTTACTCCAAAATTTAGCTGGAAACCCTATTCCGAAATACTCTGGAATGAATGGTACATATCTTGAGCGTATATGTACTGTGTCTACACAAAAAAAAATGCTGATTAAAATTAACAAAACAAAAATTTTTATTACATAGAAGCCTGGCAACCCTGACCAAAGTTCTCAACAATACCTTTCATTTCATATCCATATTGCGATGCTTTAGATAAATTGTTCAGAATCGAAAATAAGTGGCAACCTTACACTATTATCTTAAGGAATAACATTTTGTATATAGGGAAAGCATTATTTAAGAATCTTCTCTTGGTACCCATGATTAGTAATATTTTACCTATTTTTCTAAACAAAAAATTAAATAATTATGTGAATCAAAATAAGTGGCAACCCTATTACAAATATTTTTGAATTAGGGATCTTTAAAATACATTCCTTTTGATACCCATAAAATTACGTTTTAATTAATTTGTAACTAATTTCGAATAGGTGGCAACCTTATACGAGTCTTCTCGGAGATAGGGCCTTTTCAGATAACCTTAAAATCCAAAACATTATCTGTGTACAAAATTTCATCAAAATCGTTAGAGCCGTTTTCGAGAACCCTATGGATATACATATATATATACAAGAATTGCTCGTTTAATATAAGATTTACTTATGGAAATTAGTATATGCATATATGAAAATATTGGAACTCATGCAGACTCGTTACCGTGATCTTAGAATGGCACGTCCATCCCTTTGCTATGAAACCTGATTTATTAATTACACTGGTTTACAGCAAAATTGTTCTCCAGACGCCACTATCCAATTCCAATGTAGAATTGCTGGGTGATTCCGTAAATCGAGTTAATTTTTTTTCCATGGATACGTTTTTGAGATACTTGCAATTTACCGTTATTCAGCTTAAAGCAAAAACTTGTTCCTTTTAATCACGTATATCTTACGAAAAAATTTTAAATTCTTAACATAAAATACGAGAAATGAAAGCCAATGAAATTCTCCATTGCATTACATTACTTGCCGATAGGGCGTATAGTTTCTGTCAAATTAATTAATAATTCCAACTTTTTTTATTTTTTAATGAAAAAATTTAAAAAATCAAACTTTAACAGAAGAAAAATTTAAAACATAACAGGTTATGTGCCAAATTTTTGCATTTGTACTAAAGCCTGTTCAGTTACAAAACAAATCAAGTTACTGATGAAGAAAATCGATGGATAAATACGAAATATGAGTGGTCAAATGAAAATGCGCAAAGATTTTTTGAATAAAATACGAGCAGTAAAGCGTGTTACTCGGGTGTTCGTGGCGTATCTATATATTAAGACTTTTAAATTTGTTCGTAAGATATACATGATTAAAAGGAACCAGTTTTTGCTTTAAGCTGAATAACGGTAAATTGCAAATATCTCAAAAACGTATCCATAGAAAAAAAATTAACTCGGTTTTCGGAATCACCGAGCAATTTTACATAGGAATTAGATAATGGCGTCTGCGGAACTAAAATAAAATTAAAATTTGTGATCCAGTGTTATTTGTCGTGGTAGATCGGTGCGTTACACTCGCATTGTGTCCAGAACTCATTTCATATTAAAATTAACAATTGGTTGTGAGAAATACCTTTTTATGCTAAATAAGCCTCAGACTTTATATTTATTAAATGGTGATAATTACTTTAGGCGGATTGAATGGATATGTTTCCGGAACTTTAATCTCTAAAACAAATTTTCCTCCCTCATATGGAGTATCTGGTGGACCAGCGATTTCCCCGCGCAACTCTGTCCAGCTATCGTTGATCAATTCAATTTTAATAGAGCATTGCACAATCTGAAAGAATTACAAGTAAAAAAGACTGTTAGACTGTGTTTTATATACTTATAATAAATTCGCAAAAAAAAAACCATTAGAGGTACCGCAGAGTTGTTGTTTACCACAACCTGCCGAAATTAAAATACGACAATCTTTTACCCAGGCGGCGAAGGGCAATTTACTCAAAGCCTGATTAACAGTAATCTCCGGTTAAACTTCGTTATTGACGTCTTCGACTCCATGCATATAACAGGGTGTTGTTGTTTTTGTTGTAACAATATACAAATTAGCCAGAGAGTTTTTGGGGAGGGTTGCTGGGTCGTTCCGGTTACGTAGATCCGACTGCCTTGGGAACAGGGTGTCGATAACGTCGATAACTATGTAGTTAGGGTTAACCAGACATTGAGAAACTGGCCCTAAGTGATATAACTATTGAGCGCAACATGGTAAGTATAATTGGAGAAAGTATCGCACAAATTAGTCAAAATTGCTGTGTGAACTATTAGTACGGGAGCCCAAGAGGGGATTCGGGGATTTACTCAAGCGCGCCAGATTAACATATGGGGGATACCTTGCGTTCTGTTGAGTACCTCTGCCAAATCTCAGACATCTACCCAGCAAACAATTTGGTTTGATATACATTTGAGAATGATTTGAAATCAAAGCCTTTCTCAAATGTCAAACGTTTGAAAATGATTTGATATTGATTTGAAAATTACAGCTTGCTCAATAAAAAGGAGAGTTTGATCTCCATTTGAGAATATGGTTAACTATCAAATCGATTTCAAAGGTTATTTATCAATTGTACTTCAAATGTGGAAATGGAATTTATTATAGGAAATGTATATTTCATATTTATTTTTTCTTCGCGATGTACATATGTATGTATATAACAAAAGAAACAATTAAGATAAAGTAATTTATAATAAATTCGTCTTGAAGAGCTGCAACTGCTTTAATCCGCTCAAACATCAAATCCACTATTTGTGGGCTTTCTCTTGGAAATTGTTTTTCTATTCATTGTTTTTTTTTCAATTGATCTTAATTTTATTCTTACACTTTTGGATTTAACTGCGCATTTTTATATCGTTTGACACTTGCCATATTTCTTCAAATCAACCTCAAATGAATTTCAAATGTAAAATATGAACCTCGTTTTCAATTTGAGAATCATTTAAGAAAACCATTGGATATCAAATTGAGAAATACATTTTTCTCAAACGTTTAAGACTGTGTTTGCTGGGTACCGACACATAAAGCGCTTTGACACAGTTCGCTGTGATTCAAAGTGGATGCATAAACCAAATTTCAATACGGTCTTAATTTCAAGACTCGAATTTGATTTCAAATCGTTTTTTTTATTTCTGAAATCGGTTAGAAAACAGGTATAAGCACATCACTCATTCGACGCGAAGTGAAAATAGGCTGGTTTTCTTTATACCGCCCGTTTTAAATTTGAACTATTATTAAAATAAATTTGAATTGCTGTGCGCTTTTATTTCGGTCAGTCGCGCAAATCAATTATTAAAGAAATATCGAAATAAAACAAAGAAAAATTTATACTTTTGAATACGGTTTCAGTGAATGCGCTGTAAAGACACAGGTATAAACGCTTGAAAGAAATTTAAGTTAAGTCAAATTGGATTTTTCCCAATGCGGTTCTTGCGTAGGTATAAACAAGGTACACATTTTGTGATTTACGATGAGTGGAAATGGGTTTTGTGTGTTTTGTGGATCAAGTACTTGCCAAAAAACTTGTTGGACTATTCTAGGGGACTCAGGTATAATACCTTGTAAATTCTGTAATAACATACTTTTCATTTAATAAGTAAAAGAAAATATTGTCTTTTTACAGATGGGAAAAATGTAGAAGAAATTGACGACCAAGTCGAACAGTCGAACAGCATTCCCACGGCAGCCGGTTCTACGTACCGGAATGACTCGGGTTTTATCCGACCAAGGGCTGTTGTTTCGGCGATCTAACCCCGTTTAGGTCGGCGAAATCCATCAAACGTTGCTCGATTCTAGGGCTAAATCTTTTCCGTACCTTTCCGCTCAGGGCTGGCATAGAGTCTAACCCAGTAATTTACACCTGCTGCGTATGCCAGAGACGACTGCATACAAACTCCACCTCGGTCAGGTGCAATGCCTGTGACGGGTGGAGTCACCTCCGTAACTACTCGGGCCTACGTACGCACCGGGAATGGAGCACGTCGTTCGTGGCCCCATGCTATGCTAACCGGACCGCCTCCAAGGCAAACCACCACCCGCCTCGGCAGCACACAATCAACACACCCACACCCCCAACACAACACAACAATAGACACACAAACAAACACAATAGCACCTAAACACCGCCGCCGGCAACTCCTAGTCCCTCCTACATTCTGCTCTGTTTGTCAGTCCAGAATATACCGTAACGTGACATCAGTCAAGTGCAACTCCTGCCTCGGCTGGTGCCACTTTAGGGCGTGCTCAGGACTCCGCAACATGCGAGATTGGACGAGTGACTATGTGGGCCCCTGCGGTGCTGCCCAGTCGCATCCCGCGACGCCGCCAACCACCACCACAAGGCAGCACCCCCTTTTGCAGCACGTACAGCAGGGGGCCGGCAGGCAACACAACTCTTTAACACCACACATCACAATCGGTCTCCCAAGGCACACAGAGGTGCTACAGTTTAACTGTAACGGACTCCAGAGCAAGATCGAGGAGATAACTGTATTTATGGGAAGGCATTTAATATTAATAGCTGCGGTCCAAGAGACGAAGCTGCACGGCAACTCAACCCTGTTGAACTGCGCCGGATACAACGTGCACCGTCGAGATCGCGAGCGAGATAATGGTGGAGGTTTAGCGTTCATCACGCACCTCACCGTGCAGTATCGTCCTATTGAAGCAGACATCGACCGCAGGGATACCATCTTAGAATGTCAGGGTATTGCTATCCGGTCAGGCGATGTTGAGCTCGAAATATTTAACGTATACATACCCCCTGTCACCAGATGCCCGGCAGGGTATCACCCTGAAATAATTGCGCTACTCAGAGGTGAAAACCGCATGGTAGTTGGTAACTTTAACGCGCACCACGATCTTTGGCACTCAAGCCTGTCAAATCAAAATGTCGTAGGGGAATACATCTGGCTGAGCAGATAGACGATTCGACATTCTGCACAATGAACGACGACCCACCCACCAGGATTATGGGCAGCTGCTGCAGCTCGCCAGATCTAACAATTGTCAGCGATGGTCTGATAAACAGCGTAACATGGCGGCCAATGCTGACCCTAGCATCAGACCATCTGCGCATAGTCATCTCGAATGATAAACCTACCGACTTTGCTTCCGTGGATCACCGGACTTATGTCAACTTTTCCAAAGCTGACTGGAAAGGCTTCACGGATGTTACTGAGGTCGTCTTCACTGCACTACCCATACCAACCAGCGTTTATGTAGGTTACGGATGCACAGCAGAGGTGCACGCAATCGACGTCGCGGGCAAACTGCGAGCACGCGAGCGTGGTAGGCGAGGTGAAGTGAGCTGTACGGAGTTGGCAACGTATACATATTAACCACTACACACTTATTTTCAAGTAAAAATGCGTGTATGTATGTGTACTTTTGCGACAACTGAGCCAGTGTGGCATCAGGCCACCAGAAAAAGCCAATTTTTCCAAAACAAAAGCGCCAAGTTTTTATTATCATGTTTAATAATTTTTTTTGATTCAGTAAAAAGTGTATATACATATCCATTACCGCATGTTTTTATTAAAAAATTAATTTCAATACATTTTTAACAACGCAAAACATATTTAATTTACCTATTCCTCACATTTTATTCAGTAAATGAATTCCATCATAATGTACAATATTAGTGTATAGTGTATACATACATACATATGTACCTATGCATTCGGTGTGCTTAAATTAAAAAAGCATCACTAAATATCGCACCAAGCATTGAATTCCAATTAATTTGGCTTTTTGGTTTCCCAAAAGCACTAAATTTAGCGCAAAATGCACGACCTTGGCAACAGTGAGCTGAGCACATCAACGCTCAAACAGTGATGCCAGACCAAGTATTGAGTAAATGCGATATGTATATTTCTCTTTTAAAACAAAACTTCTAATTGGCGAGGGTATTGATTTTTGGTTCTTACATAGAACACTGATAAGATTCACAAACTTATCTTAGGACTTAATTAAAATAATCAACATTATTTGTAGACGAATATATTTGCGTTCGTATGAAATAGTAGCTTATGTCGGGAGGCTGGCTTTAGTAAAATGTACCATTTCCTATATTCTTTAAACCACAAGGAATCTTTTTATGAAACTTTATACGAACATTGACTGGCTAGCATCGCCATTAACATTACCGTCTTTTACGTTTATTTTCCAAGAGTTCTTCAACGACTCGGCGCCAGTGAGTCCTTCGCAATCGTATGCTTCGAATGGTTGATTATACTAAAGCCAGTCTTCCGACATAAGCTACTTTTCTATAAGAACACAGATATGTATACTTCCTAATAGGCTTGTAAATGCCCAATACCCAAATCCCTCGCATGAGTTATTATCGGTAAAAAATTGGGTACGCTCAAATCTGGCATCGCTGGCGCAAGTACAGCGCCAGTGAAACAGTGTTGATATTTTAAGTACAATTGTACTTTTTTCAGTACAATTAATTTTAAAATGTACAAAAGTACAATTTGCCGATTTTAAGTACAATTTCAACATCAAAAATACTTTTTGTACCGAACGCTCAAATCTCTTCTAGCACTTTGATTCTTAATCCGTTTATGCAGCGTTTTTGCTGCATTTAAAATGCAACATTTAGTACTTTCGAACATATGTTTTCGAAGAGCGTTCATGCTATCGCATTTAGCAAATATACATTTACGCGAGTTCGAAATCGTATGCTTTTGACAAACAGCCGTGTTCCAGTCGCTTATTCAGATCCGTATCTATTACGATCAATTCTCACGCAGAAGATAATGTGCAAAAACCCTACTGAAAAGGAAAAAATA